AAAAGAATTTTGTTGATAGGCCTTACGGTTCAAAAGTTATTAGCATAATAAAAGTGAAACTTTGGACAGTTGGTGGCGCTAGAGGGAATGAGTTAGAGACACCAAAATTGGTGTATTTAAAGTTGGGACTGTCCTCTATCAGAATGTCAAACCAAAACAACTTTCCCGCAAACCGGTCTATGGGCTGCCATAGACGCCCAGTCGGAAGAAGAATAATAATAATAATAAATATAGCTGCAAGCAGCCATTACCGGGGCCAAGCGCAAGAAGCGGCAACATATGCCAAAATGGCAAGGAGTGGCAGACCAACTGCAGCAAGGAGCAATTAAGGGCATTTTGAGAGAACTTTGGGCAAATGGCTAAAAAAATCACATAAACATTAACTTATAAGATGATTTAATGGGTTATCACTTTCGAACAATAGGTGGCGCAGTTACGAAATAGATGTGATGTGGTCAGAGTGAGGTGACAATGACACATGCAAAGTTTGGTGTCAAAATGTGAAGGCATTGCAGAGATAAAGCCTAAATAGTAATTTTGGCAGCATGCCTAAACTTTGATGCTGTGGTATACGAAAACGGTTTTGTCTATCATCGTGCAATTCATAACTTTTAGTCGGCACGGTCTGGAGATGATACGATTCAATTTTCGTGAAAATCGGACAAACGGTCTAGGAGGAGTTCGAAAAAGAAGGTTTTTCAAAGAAATAAAGATGGCGGACAGGAAGTTTGGCTGATTATGCAAAACCTGATATCTATGTTTTCGGCATAACCCAAGGAATCTATTAAGATCAGTTTCATTGCAATAGGCAAATTTATTCAAAAGTTATTAGCGTTCTCAGAAATTAATTATAACTTTTGACCAACAGGTGGCGCTGTCTCAAAATCTTTTGAGTACCTTCAGGGCATGCTGCTTATGGCACACACTGAGTTTCGTAATGTTAGACCAAAGCATTTGTTTAGTATAGCATTGTATTTCACAAAACTGTATTGAAGTCAATGGGAATTTCACGTTTTGTTCTATTATAGCGCCACCAAGAGGCTCAGTCCCACAATTTTTTTTATGTGTCCTCAGAGTGACCCCATACATATGTGTGTCAATTTTGGTGCAAATATCTCAATTACTTCCGAGTTATAAACATTTATATGAAAAAACACGTAAAAAATGACTGACACATGACTTTGTTTGAATTTTACTACCCCTTACTATCAATATTTACGCATTTGGGCATTAGCGTATAGTTAACAAGCTATGATTCCGTGTTTCTGGCGGTGGTTTCGTCTCGATCGGAACAGCGGTTTTGAAGATATCGCCAAGTGTTTTTTTCGCGCTAAATCGCTACGCTACGCCATCCGTGAGACGAAACCCGACATATTTGGTATCGTTGGACTCGGCAACGATTCAGGACCTCAAAAATATGACTCCCGTGAAAATAAGTGTACCACACCCAAAGTTATAAGCGTTTGAATAAAACAATTCACCACTAGGTGGCGCTGTTTCGAAACTTCTCAGGCTCCTTCAGGGCATCGTACTGATGACCCATAACGAGTTTCGTAACAATTCGTTCATGCGTTCAAAAAATACAGCATTTTAGCACATAATTCAAAATGGCCGACAGCCAAAATGGCCGATCTGGGAAAATTGGATATCGGTCGACTCGGCATGACGCCCTGAATCTAACGAGACCAAGTTTTTGATTTTTGGAGAAACCGTTCAGAAGTTACGAGCAAAAATAGCCATTTTTCATATCTCCGGACCACTAGGTGGCGCTGCGCCGAAACGCAGCACGTAGCCTCAGGTCATGCTTGTGATAACACGTACCAAGTTTGGTGTGAAAACGAGTAAGCGTTGCGGAGATACAACCTCACGTCTGTTTTCGCAAGCGCTACGTAAATTTTGTTTACGCGTTTATCGAAAACGGTTATTCGAATCATCTTGAATTCCATAACTTTTTGTCAGCACTGCCTGGAGATGATCCGGTGCGATTTTGGTGAAAATCGGACAAACCGTCTAGGACGAGTTCGCAAAAGTAGGTTTTTTGGAAAATTCAAAATGGCGGCCGTTTTTTTATGACGGAAAATGACGTCATAGGGTGCGATCGAATCGGCATGAGCTCAGGAACAAGAGGAAAAAAGAATTTTGTTGATAGGCTTACGGTTCAAAAGTTATTAGCATAATAAAAGTGAAACTTTGGACAGTTGGTGGCGCTAGAGGGAATGAGTTAGAGACACCAAAATTGGTGTATTTAAAGTTGGGACTGTCCTCTATCAGAATGTCAAACCAAAACAACTTTCCCGCAAACCGGTCTATGGGCTGCCATAGACGCCCAGTCGGAAGAAGAATAATAATAATAAGAACCAGCACGGATACAATAGGTGCCTCCGCACCTTCGGTGCTTGGCCCCTAATAAGAACCAGCACGGATACAATAGGTGCCTCCGCACCTTCGGTGCTTGGCCCCTAATAATAGGAACCGGCACAGATACAATAGGTGCCTCCGCACCTTCGGTGCTTGGCCCCTAATAATAATAATAATAAATATAGCTGCAAGCAGCCATTACCGGGGCCAAGCGCAAGAAGCGGCAACATATGCCAAAATGGCAAGGAGTGGCAGACCAACTGCAGCAAGGAGCAATTAAGGGCATTTTGAGAGAACTTTGGGCAAATGGCTAAAAAAAATCACATAAACATTAACTTATAAGATGATTTAATGGGTTATCACTTTCGAACAATAGGTGGCGCAGTTACGAAATAGATGTGATGTGGTCAGAGGGAGGTGACAATGACACATGCAAAGTTTGGTGTCAAAATGTGAAGGCATTGCAGAGATAAAGCCTAAATAGTAATTTTGGCAGCATGCCTAAACTTTGATGCTGTGGTATACGAAAACGGTTTTGTCTATCATCGTGCAATTCATAACTTTTAGTCGGCACGGTCTGGAGATGATGCGATTAAATTTTCGTGAAAATCGGACAAACGGTCTAGGAGGAGTTCGAAAAAGAAGGCTTTTCAAAGAAATAAAGATGGCGGACAGGAAGTTTGGCTGATTATGCAAAACCTGATATCTATGTTTTCGGCATAACCCAAGGAATCTATTAAGATCAGTTTCATTGCAATAGGCAAATTTATTCAAAAGTTATTAGCGTTCTCAGAAATTAATTATAACTTTTGACCAACAGGTGGCGCTGTCTCAAAATCTTTTGAGTACCTTCAGGGCATGCTGCTTATGGCACACACTGAGTTTCGTAATGTTAGACCAAAGCATTTGTTTAGTATAGCATTGTATTTCACAAAACTGTATTGAAGTCAATGGGAATTTCACGTTTTGTTCTATTATAGCGCCACCAAGAGGCTCAGTCCCACAATTTTTTTTATGTGTCCTCAGAGTGACCCCATACATATGTGTGTCAATTTTGGTGCAAATATCTCAATTTACTTCCGAGTTATAAACATTTATATGAAAAAACACGTAAAAAATGACTGACACATGACTTTGTTTGAATTTTACTACCCCTTACTATCAATATTTACGCATTTGGGCATTAGCGAATAGTTAACAAGCTATGATTCCGTGTTTCTGGCGGTGGTTTCGTCTCGATCGGAACAGCGGTTTTGAAGATATCGCCAAGTGTTTTTTTCGCGCTAAATCGCTACGCTACGCCATCCGTGAGACGAAACCCGACATATTTGGTATCGTTGGACTCGGCAACGATTCAGGACCTCAAAAATATGACTCCCGTGAAAATAAGTGTACCACACCCAAAGTTATAAGCGTTTGAATAAAACAATTCACCACTAGGTGGCGCTGTTTCGAAACTTCTCAGGCTCCTTCAGGGCATCGTACTGATGACCCATAACGAGTTTCGTAACAATTCGTTCATGCGTTCAAAAAATACAGCATTTTAGCACATAATTCAAAATGGCCGACAGCCAAAATGGCCGATCTGGGAAAATTGGATATCGGTCGACTCGGCATGACGCCCTGAATCTAACGAGACCAAGTTTTTGATTTTTGGAGAAACCGTTCAGAAGTTACGAGCAAAAATAGCAATTTTTCATATCTCCGGACCACTAGGTGGCGCTGCGCCGAAACGCAGCACGTAGCCTCAGGTCATGCTTGTGATAACACGTACCAAGTTTGGTGTGAAAACGAGTAAGCGTTGCGGAGATACAACCTCACGTCTGTTTTCGCAAGCGCTACGTAAATTTTGTTTACGCGTTTATCGAAAACGGTTATTCGAATCATCTTGAATTCCATAACTTTTTGTCAGCACTGCCTGGAGATGATCCGGTGCGATTTTGGTGAAAATCGGACAAACCGTCTAGGACGAGTTCGCAAAAGTAGGTTTTTTGGAAAATTCAAAATGGCGGCCGTTTTTTTATGACGGAAAATGACGTCATAGGGTGCGATCGAATCGGCATGAGCTCAGGAACAAGAGGAAAAAAGAATTTTGTTGATAGGCCTTACGGTTCAAAAGTTATTAGCATAATAAAAGTGAAACTTTGGACAGTTGGTGGCGCTAGAGGGAATGAGTTAGAGACACCAAAATTGGTGTATTTAAAGTTGGGACTGTCCTCTATCAGAATGTCAAACCAAAACAACTTTCCCGCAAACCGGTCTATGGGCTGCCATAGACGCCCAGTCGGAAGAAGAATAATAATAATAAGAACCAGCACGGATACAATAGGTGCCTCCGCACCTTCGGTGCTTGGCCCCTAATAAGAACCGGCACAGATACAATAGGTGCCTCCGCACCTTCGGTGCTTGGCCCCTAATAATAATAATAATAAGAACCGGCACAGATACAATAGGTGCCTCCGCACCTTCGGTGCTTGGCCCCTAATAAGTATCTTTGTTAATCCACAAAAGCAAAATGCCACATTCAACAAATGCCATCCATCCATCCTGTTTGACAATGCACTATGCAAAAAAAAAAAAAATGCAAATAAATAGCTGCAAATAAATCTCATTATCTTTTTGTATATATGTATGTTTCACAGTATGGCCTGGGGCTCGTTCACCTGTTGCATGGCCGCCTCTGTCACCACCCTCAACTCCTACACAAAGACGGTGATTGAGTTCCGGCACAAACGGAAGCTTTTTGAACAAGGCCTGCGAGAGGAGCAAACCTTCCTGGACCCGGAGTCCTTCCATTACTTCCGTGATTCGTCCGTCCAGTCCATCTCCAGCTCTATAGATGTTTACCCAAGCCATGGAAGCAGCCACGGGAGCAGTCGTGGGAAAATGCGCTCTCCGCCGGCTTCGGTGGACCAGGCCGACAACACAGAGTCCCTGGATGAAGAGCAGTGCTGAGAGGACATACATCCGGCACTGCACAGGTGGCCTTCCTCCGACCGGATATCTCAGAATACTGATTAACTGGGAGGCGAGGGTTTTTTTTATATGGATTTTGAAAACGGTTGAAAATGGACATAAATAACAGTATTGTACAAGGCATGCAGGTATTACGCTGAGCCTTGGTGAAGATAAATTGGTGATTGTAAATAAAATCATGTGGAAAGGGAGCATTTTTCCTCCGCCAACAGATAGCTGAATTATCTACGGGCAGGTGGGAAAACAAAACGACTTTCTTTTCCATGAAGACTGAGCAGTGCACGCTGCTAAAGCCGTACCGTAGCATCTGTCGGTCCCTCGCCCTGACAGCTAGACAAGTTCCTGAGTATTTACCGGTCTTACACAGTATGTGAAATGCCCACCTCTCTTGGTGAGATCTGCTTGAATATGCCTTCATATTACAAACAGCAGAGTAGAGTACCGTTTAAATCCTGCCTTCAATACAACTGCAGCTGAACACAGGAGAAGCACAGCCCATTTCAGTTGCAGCATCCACTAGGGATAAAAGGTTACTGCCACTTGGATTTTTGTCTTTTTTCCGTGCATTACTGGGTTGATTAGCAGCATTCAATGACAAGATTTTAATCCCTGCACCCATTTTTTTGACAATATTAGTATTTATGTACATACAATGAATGGAATTCTATCTATTAATGAATGTACTAAATGTTTATCAATGTATGCACTATGTCTTTTTCATTTGATAAAAGAGGTACAAAATGGCCAAAATCTTGTTGATTTTTTGGGGTTTGCTTTTCGAAGATTGAAAGCCATGTACAGTAGTTCATGGTTATTTTGTTGGGGGGGGGGGGGGGGGGGGGGGTTTAATTCCAGCTTCCAGGAATTGTGTACAAATCCTTACAACATGGGGCCGTGCATTATCATGCTGCAACATGAGGTGATGGTTGTCGATGAATGGCACGCACAAAAATGGGAGTTGTAATACTTTGCAATATGGCAGAGAAAGCACACTGCTTAAATACAGGGTGACAGGAAATGACAAGACAGGAACTGATGTGGCAGACTTCAATATTCAGGTGATGGCTCCCTCTAGTGGACTGGTGCCTGATCATAATATATATATATATATATATATATATACACACACGTATATAAAAAAAAAACGTAAAGCGTAATTAAAATGTAGCTTACATCGGCATGTAAACAGACCTTTGTTGGTAATTCTGATTGAGTCAACGCAATAATGAATGAAATTGGTGTTTTTATAGCAGCTGATCTACGACCATACTCGCTTTTTGAGAACACTGGTTTTAGGCACATGATGAAGGTGACTGAGCCCAGGTATGAAATCCCTTAGTCCACATTTCAGCCAAAAAGTTATACCCACCCTGTATAAACAGGTTAAAACTGCTGGTGTCCACGACCTGCCCAAGGCATCTGCTGTAGCACTCACAAGTTGATAGTCGGACATCTAGAGCTACTGAGACCTACTTAACAGTGACTGCCCATCACATTACTCCAGAGTGGAACATGCAAGGCTGAGGGACTTAAGGAGACAGTGTTTAAGTGGAAGTTGGAAAGGCCAGGAACTACAATTCTTCAGACAATGTGGACAAGTTAATTTTGTTGACAAAAAACATGTACACTTTTCACTTTGGAAAAGTTATATCTTTTTAATCTGAGCAGGCTCACAAGCTGGGATTGGTAATGCTGCACTGTAATCCATAGTTATTTATATTTTTGATTATATTTTATTATGTGATATTGGATTGAGTATTTTATTTTATTTAGTGGAGAACTTTGCAGCAGTATTTTATTTCTTATTCTTCTATATATATATATATATTTAATGAACCTTTGGTTTAATAAAACATCGGTACCTAGTTAATCGTTCTCTGGGATTTGTTTTCATTATAGTCGAATGTAAGGACTTTTATCTCTAAAAACTGTTTACCGTATAATGCTAGTAATGGGGGCATTGACTAAGTAAAAAGAAATCGCTAGTTTATACCACTAACAAGGCTCAAAATAGCCCCACACTAACACAGTAACATAATGAGGTAACTACATACCATTGAGGTAAATGTATAGACAGTTTAATAAGAAGATACTTTATAAAGACAGTTCATTTTGTGTATACAGACAGGAGCCATCTTAGAAAATCTTAGAAAGTCTTGATAAGTCGATCCCTGAATGCCGTTCAGATAGTTCAAAAGTTCGCTGAACTTCATACAGTTCAGCTCACTCAGCAGGACGTTCGTGGTTTGACTTGTCGTGACTGTTCCAAGATGGCTCCTGTCTGTATACACGAAGTGAACTGTCTTTATAAAGTATCATCTTATTAAACGGTCTGTACACTTACACAGTTCTCAATGCTTCGTTTTGCATGTATGGACCCTCATTATGTTACTGTGTTAGTGTGGGGCTATTTTGAGCCTTGTTAGTGGGATAAACTAGCGATTTCTTTTTACTCAGTAAATGCCCCCATTACTAGCGTTATACGCTAAACAGTTTTTAGAGATAAAACTCTTTACATTCGATTATCATGAAAACAAATCTCAGAGAACGGTTGACTAGGCACCGATGTTTTATTAGACCAAAGGTTCATTTTGCGGCAGAGTTCCTGTTACAAAAAAAATTCTAGAACCGCCACTGATACCTGGAGCTGGATTATTCGTCTCAAACCATCTTTCACCACCCGGTTCCCTGTCGAAGTCCCTGCGTCAATGGCCTTGTCTGTTGTCTCAGTGTTTTTGTGTGCTGAGCAGCGTTTTGTTTATTCTTCAATAAACGTCACTTTCTGCACATTGCTTCCAGTCGTTCCTGACAGTAACACTACAGTATTAATTTATGGGGTCTAACTTCTGCTGTGTTTCTATTACAATCTCTTCTAGATTTCCTCTTTTGCTGCCCTACTAAATAAAGACATTAAGAGCACTTAGTGCATGCTCTCGTCTCTATAATCAATATATATTTAAGACACAAGTAACGCTCTAGTGGTCAATGGTGCTCATAACAAGTACATCAGTGAAGTGCTTTCTCTAGTGGGTGAAATCTACAAGGAAGAATCTAGCTTGCTTTTTCAAGCTGGGCCACAGAAGATGTGCTGCATAGATAGTGACAAACATCTGGCAAAATCAGCTAACATCCATCCATCCTCTTATTCATTCCCCATCCATCATTCTTTGTTTCAGTGTGTACAGTGTGATGTCTCAGATCCACTTTTACAGATTCTTTTACATAACAATGCCCCTTAACTAGATCGCCGACTTGTGGACGACCCTTGAACTATTGGACAATAATGATCAGCACCTTAAGTGAAAAGCAATTATGTCTATCTCCACATGGCACAAGTGATTGACGGCAGACCATAGTCATTTGAATTAAGACTACATTGCTCTGGCATTGACAGGGGATGGTTCAGTGATGGAAAAGAGCCTCATTTCGCATTCAGTTTTACAAAGCACACAATACAAAGCCACTTTCATTATGTCTTACAGGAAGGGTCATAACAGTACAAGCTCAATTTCAGCCCTGGAGATGAAACACAATGAGCTGGCATTTGGGGTAAGTGATAGCTCAGAGGGAGAGGAGAAATTCATCACGGTTTGTGATAAATCAAGAAGAACCCATCACTAATTAAAGTGCATAAGCACTGTGTCTCATGCCTCATGGCATTGCTTACAGTATTATAACGTTCAGTTTCTGCAATGTGCAAAACAAAGAAACTCATTTGTACAACGAGAATGAATCCAAGCGGCCTAAAATTGCCTTCTTTTTATCCACAAACAAGACGACAGACAACAATTGTTTTTTTTTTTGTTTTGTTTTTTTTTTTCAGAACATATATTTGCCATTTACATAATGTTTAGTTGAAAGCAGCTGAAGAAGTGTTTGAGGTGCACCTGCTGGGCTGTTTTCAAATTTGTTCAATTTTCATTAGGCTGGCCAGTCGACATGATACATCTACGTCTGAAGTTATGACTGGCCTGAGATGTGGCTTTATTCTCATTTCCAGATTAGAGGAATCTCTCTCACTTCTTGCTCCTTATGTTGGTCAGATAACAGTAATTAAGACATGTAAATTATAATAAATTATGTTCCTCTCAATGGGCAAAATGGAGGTTAAAAAAAGAGTGCAAAATAATCAGCATGCTGCACACAAAAAACAGAGACTAGCAGCAGTGTAATAATGACATTCATTTCCTGTGACATGGCATGAGTCATTACCGGACTGAAAAAAATGAAACATCTTCTAATTGCAGGATGGTAATGCAACTACAGCGAGGGATATGTCTCTTTAAAAAAAAAAGAAAGCAAGAAGATTCTTAACATTTGTGCCATTGGCTGTTTCTGTAGGTAAACAAAAGGGGACATTTTGAAGAACCGTTCTACATGCTTTCAAATGAAAGTTCATAATGACCACAGGACTTCTAAAGTAAAAAACAAACAAAAACAAAACACAACAACAACAACAACAAGCAGCGGTGCATGTAACTCATTCTTTAAAAGCCTTTAAAGCCATATGGTAGCTACTCATTTAAGCAGGATAAGCCCACTTTTTAGGTTTGTGTATATGGGGGTTTATTTTTGTGTATGTGGTTGGTTTCAACCTTTTTCATTTTGTTAAATTAAAGTCTTATTAAAAATGTGACAGTGAAAACAAAAAGCCAGCATTGTTTCCTACAATGTGCATATTATAAGCTGTTGGACAAATACGTTTTCCTAAAAGTCACCAGGGCCAAAAGTGCTCACAGTTAAAAAAAAAAAAAAAAACATTGATAAGACTCTGTTATTTGATGGAAGATAGACTGTTCTCTCCATCATCATTTAATTTCAGTTGGTCTCTCAGATCATGACATATGTTCCAGACGGCAAATAATCAAAGGTCTTATCATAGCTGATGGATGGTCAAATCAAACAACTCCATATAGGACAGGAATCGGCCTTGGAATGGAAACTTGCTCTCTTCTTTTGTTATCTCTCTCTTTTCTTTTTCCAACAATAGCTGACTTACCGAAACGTATCTGCAACAGAAATTACGGCAACCCTTCGTTGTCAATATACATTTAAATGACTGACTCAGAGAGACAGGTCAGTGAAAGGTGAACCACAGCCTAATGTAGTTTTTGTCCGTGTTTTTAATGTCCTTGTGTGATTTGTTGCACAGTGTCGCTTACACATGTGATGTATTTGGTTTAGTGGGCTGGTGAGGTATAGTGTGGGTGGACATGTGGGGACGTGTGCTTTGCACTGCATCACTGACCACTTCTAAATGGATACAGGAGATTTATGCAAGCAGTCACAAAGCATGGGGCTGTGTCCCTCTCACATATAGCTCAGCTTTAGAGTGGCCTGGTCTGAAAACCTGCATATATTTATCGCTGCCAGTTTTATAGCTTGGAGGATATTAACTGAACTGAAACACAATAAAGCCGCCTCTGAATCTTACGGCATTTTCCAAAACATTCATTCGTTTCTTATACTCATCTACAATGCTGAATAATTTATGAGGGCTTCATCACATCTGTTAGGTGGGAATATGCCAATTCAAGGGATTGTTTTTCTCTTTGTTCAGTCATGCATACCCTATTAGGCATCGTTAATAAACTGTGTGGTTTGGTGAAGACATAGCAGGGGTGGGTGCATACATATAAAACATTTTAACTAATTAAAAAATGCTAGAGCTTAGTTCCAAATGGCAACTAAAAAAACCAAACAAAAAAACTTTTTAGAAAATACTGTCAACTTTATAGTCATTCAAGAAACCTGTA